GTGTGTGTGTGTGTGTGTGTGTGTGTGTGTGGTCATGTGGAGCTCCTGCTGTAATGCAACGTGGATTCACAGACTGGGAAACCAATATTCCACCAGTGCAGGATCACTATGAATGAACCAAAATGTGATGACTGCTGAGCTTCGTTTTTAAACACACTCTGAAGATAATTTAGATTAGGGATGAGGGAGTTGGGAGTGACATGCAGCAAAGTGCCCAGGGTCGGAGTCGAACCCCATCAGTCCTGTTCTCAGATGGGTCATGCAACGGCTATCGAACGTCTCCCACATGACGTTTGTGTTGCTTCGATCAGTTGTCTTTTGGTATGTGTCAGTCAGTCAATTAAAAGCCTCTTGGAAATGAAAACCTGAGAGACTACAGTACATACTAATTGGCATCACAGGCTACAAAGTCATGTGTGACAAAAGAAGATAAGTGATGTGTCTCCATCTAGTTAGCAAAGGCTAACGAGAGACCCCAAGTTGTCAAATTTCTCATTGAGCCAAATGGCTTTAAATTTAAATCTAAGTCCAACTCAAAACCGACAAACTCTTGTTGTTTTAGTGTCTCAAAGTGAATACATTAATGGGACAGCAGGGGCAAATATAACGGGTCAGTAAAATAAAAATAAAAACTAACCTGATCTTTACTGAATGCTGACGAGCTCAAGAATAACTCTGAAACTGAAGTGATGACACTCAGAGATGAGACAATTAAAGAGAGGGACAGTGTCTAAGAGTTGAAGAAGTTTAAAGGGGATTAGGTGAGCTGCATGCTTGAGGGGGAACGGTACACACACACACACACACACACACACACACACACACACACACACACACACACACACACACACACACACACACACACACACACGCACACGCACACACACACACGCACACAGATTCCAGCTCCCCAGGAGAGGGCCGTTGGATGGCTGTACTGTCCTGACAGTAATCCTCAGATTAACTGGTTGTGGGGCTCCAGCAGTCAGCCAACAGTCAGCCAACAGTCAGCCGGCCAAGTGGAACAAAAGCAGAGAAATGTATGCAGACCTGAACATGTGGGTCAGCCGCACAAACACAGAGACGGACATTTAGTGAGACGGACAAACAGCCCAGCCAGCACACAGCGTATAGTGATGTGTCTAAAAGGTTTTCAGCTTTTCAGGGTTTTTTTAACCCTTCAGCGACAGCCTCGTTAATTCTGCTGCTACGTCTCCTTTTGAAGTTAAGATCATTTATTTATCACTCAGTTAAACGATGCATCTCTTTACTTTCAAAGTGGGTCATGTTGCTGCTCGCGCTGTAAAACCTTAAAAACAACACATGCATGTACAAAGATGTGAAGTGGCATGTCATGAAGGACAGAGCAACAGAGACTGCTATACAACGCTGTAATTCAACTTTTTGCCTTTTTATATTAATGCTTCCTGTAGTGTGACATGTTCACAATATCAACAAAAGAGCGGAAAAGAACAGAAAACATGAGAAGCAGTTTCATTGCATGCAAATGTGGAGATCTTACGAGTCAGGTGCATAGAAATGGTCTAGGGTTAGTCGTTTGCTGGATACACGATATGATGAAACAGACTTTGTGAGACGTGTGAGATGGACGAAGTTGAAACGGAGTCCCATTTGCATTGTACAAAATCTGATGATTTAATAGAATTATTGTTTCATGAAGTAAAATCTGAAATGTTGGGGCGGACAGATGTGCAGGAACTGGAATGGCTGTTTAAGTTTGATGTGTTTAAACTTTGCTAATTTTGTTTCAAAAGTTTGGAAAAGAAGACAGGACATTCTGTTTTATTAGTTTGACTTCTTGCTTTTTCTTTTTGTTTCTTGAGAATGAATATAGTTTACCTCATGCACTCTGATCCGGGAACGTTTTTTAATTTATGATGTCATGTAAGCCCATGCAGGCTGGGCATATGGATGGATGTATGACACAATAATAAAATAAAAAACTAAACTAAATCTATGAACGTCACCTCCCCCCCCTTCCCGCTCACTCAGGGTGAAGTGAAAACTAACTTCAGTAAAAACAGAGTAAATAAAATGTATGGCTGCATGTCCGCTCAGAGTCAGCAACAGTCTATTCCTTTGTCTTTTTCTGTTTATCTTTATATATTTTAAAGATTGACACAATGATCTTTTACGACACTATGATTTATTTCTTTAGAAGTTTTAGTTTTGGGCTTTTTATGCTTTTATTTTAGACACAGGAGAGTGGATAGAGTCAGAAACCAGGGACCGAGAGAGTCCAGAAAGAGCCACAGGTTAGATTCAAACCCGGGCCGCCCGCCTAGAGAACTACAGCGTACACACCTGGCGCACACTCACTGACCACTAGGCCACCGGCACCCAAACACTGTTATTTTCTTTATGATAAATGAAACCAAAAAAAAAAAAACCTTCAAAAGAGGATCAGTTTGCAAAGATGAAATAAAGGGACTCAGATCTAACTTATAGAAAAACACCAGACTGTGAAAACCGTTAGAAGAAAAACATTCCTTCTTTATCTGCAGGCAATTCAAAAGTTCATGTACATTTAGAAACCCGGGTCACATATAAACAAATGTATTGCCTACTAAAATGACGCATGTAAAGTCATTAGTATGAGGATGTTATTTTCCTGCTTAAATGAAAATATTTATATCTGAAATGTAGTGAGGTAAAAGAGAGCAGAAAATGGAAACACTAGAGTCAGTACATCAAAATGAAAGTGAAGTTTTTAAGTTCATTCACTTTTCACCACCTCTGTGTTGCACTATTGTCGCACAGACCACTTTATAATAAGTCAAAAACTTACAGAGTCTAAACTGCACGGTCATTCAGCATTTACTAAAGTGTTTAGATTTTCAATGAGGTTTGGTAGAAAAGCTTTGACTGTGGACCTTAAACAAGTTGAAATATAATCAAATCTGAAACCACCACACACACACACACACACACACACACACACACACACACACACACACACTAAATGAGAGCGGCTAACGGTGACCTCAGTGGTGGATTCGGAGGTTTTGGAGCTCTACAGCCGTTACTGTGGCGATGGAGTCCTCTCCATCACCATGCACGCCACCGACTCCGTCTCCACGGTTACGTTCTGTCAGGCACCGATTGGGCGGAGGCTTAGAGGGAACAACAATGGCAAAGGGGGGCAAATGAGGGGAAAGAGTCTTACAAACACACACACAGGAAGAAAGAAAGCAGCGATTCAGAGCTCGAGGGACTTTTCAAAACTCAAACTTTCTGAACAGTTACTGATATAAGTCAGTTATTGTTCAGTCTTAATGATGTTTAAATGCAAATGTCCTCCAGTGCTTCTTCTCTTAAGAAGTTTTCCCATCATTACTAGCCTCCAATCCTGACACATACTGTATATGCTATGTTCAAGTTGTGCTTTTAATGGGTCTAATAAGTTAAATAAAGAAAGTTGTTCACAACAAATGAAGTCAAAAATGATTAAAAAGTGTCAAACCTGGATATTTTCTGCTGTGACAATAAGATGTCCCTGCTTATTCAGCTTGTAAGCTTTCTCAGGGACCCTAAAATGTATCCTTAAACCCCTCGGATGGGTCCTTAGCCACAAATTGAAAAGCTCATATCGATGCCAACTTCCTATTTTTGTAAAATAAGACTTAAGAGTCAATTTAAGCATTAGGCTGATTTCTGTTTTAGCTCTACTCCTGGTGTTTGCTTTACAGTATTGAGTCTTTACATCATTTGCTTGAAAACCCTCAAAATATTTGGTAATGTTTACACTTTTTTATATGGTCAGCTTATGATCCTCTAAGAATGGTTTATTTTGATCACTATTAAAGGTCTTACAAGTAAAAAGGAGCAATCAGTAAGCTGTGTAGTGAGTGAAATGATAAAGGTATCTCACTATCTGATCAGACATTAAGGAAACATGCTATGTTGAAGTGCTATCTTCTCTGACAACAATGCAGCAGCCAGTATGTCCTCCTTCTAACTTTAGATTCTGCTCCTGAATGCTCTGGATTTGTTTGGACCAGAGAAGGTAGGCGCTTTTAAGACACACCCCACACGGTCGTTTTGGACGCCCCTCGGTTTGCCAGATATGAGAGCAGTTATCAGGTCAACAGGTGTTGCAGCGATGGAAGCGGTCAAGAGAAGTGGTTCAGATAGAAGTGATTGTACCCGACCTAAAAAGCCTCTGCATGTTTCTAATAAGCTCCACGAGCAGAAACGTGCTCAAACTAGGATCAATATTGGAGATGCTTTTGAAAAATGGAGAGAGGTTAGAACACAGAAAGGTTTACAGACCCATGCAGAGCTGGATAAACACTGAAGCTTCAGAGTCCACCACATGGTGACCTGAGTGAGCATCCACTCTAGAGAGGAGGGGGGGGACGACAGCTCTCTACAATGTTTAGAATTTAGACTGCAGTACCCATTTTAAACACTAGGGGTCAGAGTTACATACTGCTCCTTTAACCAATAATGTAATTTACAACAAATACAGCAAACAATTTTTATCTTGTAAGTTAGCTTAGGGACCCTAAATTTAATCTTTGAACCCCTTGCGTGGGTCCCCTTCCTCAGTTTGGGAACCACATTTTTTATCTTTTTTAGTGTCAAAATCTAATTTAAGCTAAATTTAGCAAAACATCATTAGTTTCTGTTCCAACTTGTTTTTGTTTCAATGCGTTTTCTTTACTTGGAGCTTTAAGGGAGGAGTGATTTTGGGGAGGGAGTCGAGGGGACAAAAGAGTCGGGAGGGTGGAGGGGAGGAGGAGGAGAGCGGAGGGTGAATGTTTGAGTTGGTGGCCGAGAAACGAGAGGAGTTTCTAGAAAGTTTAAACAGGAGAAGAATACGATCGGGAGGGGGTGAAGGTGGGAGGGAGTGAATTTGAAGTGAGGGGGTCAGATGAGGTTGTCGCTGTTCCCGTTCCCCCTCCTGCAGAGACAAACGACCCTGCACAGGATTTCAGAGTTAGATGCTCTAAAACAAATGAAGTGGTCTGAACACGTTGTTTTAATTGAGATTTTTATTCAGTAGAAAAATAATCTGTAAACTTCAAACCGAGAGTCTCTCTGATATGTTACATGATTTTTTGTCTGTGTTCATATTTATGCAAAACCTACTGACTGCATGTTATCTCCCTTAGACATTCCTCACATGTTCGATGCATGTCGCCAACATTTCTACAAGCTTGGAATCATATATTCAACAAGCACGCGTGGAAGTGTTGCGAATGCTCAAAGCAACATGGGGAAGCTACATTTTATTAAAACTATACGGACGTACAAACTTTAAAGACAGTAAATGAAAAAACACACTTGAAAAAAAATCACATTATGGAAGACATAGAAACCCTTACTGCCCTTCTACTGCGACTTGAATATTGTTTGGTGTTTAGGAAAAGACTGTATAAAAAGATGGACTGAACGACAGCCTAGTCGAAGTGAAGCCAAAATATTTAGAGCTCCCCCTGCTGACTGACAGCGGTATAAGGGCCTGAGTGTTTTTCTGTTTTTTTGGGGCAGGAAAATAAGAATAAAAGGGACGCACACTCGTCTTGTCTCTATGACAACGGCTGCTGTATGTCTGAAACAGCTTCGTTGCTCACTGAATGTTTTATATTCGACATCGAATGGAGAATGCTTTGCCTCCTACTTTGTCTGGATGATGAGCTTACTAATAATAACGCCCCGCTATCATGGCTCCAGTGAAAGGTTGATGTGGGGTACACGACATCGGAAAAAAAAAACGCAGAAAATCATTGGCTAGGTTTTGAACGAAACTAGGTTTATATACCCATCGCTAGTTCTGACCTGAGGGATCTTTGACATTTTACCGGAAAGTTCCCGTTACCTCCTGTATTAAAAATCTTTAATTGAAGTTTAAAGCCTGGTTAAAAAAGTGAGTCAATGTCCGTATGAGCAAAAACTGAACTCAAACTAACGATGTCCTTGTGGTTTTTATTACAAGTCTAAAAGTTATTCATACATTTGCATAATTAGAGAGTGGCTGAGTCGACTTGTAGCCGTTTGCAAGGAGGCTTAAGTCCCGGCTTAGCTCCGCCTCTTTTCCTGTTTCTAGACACGTTAGTTTGAGATAGCTGTAGGAGCAGATTATTAATATAATATGTGGTGTTTGTGTATAGGATCTCACAGGGTGATTGAGGGATATATAAGGTAGGAACCTTTGTGACCGGTCAGGTGTTCCACCCGGAAGGGAAAACTGTTTTTTGACCGCTAAGGCAGGCAAGAGTTACAAGTGGATGTTTTTTGGTATCGAGATATGGACATGTTGAACCAAAAGGACGTAAAATAAATGAAAGGAAATGATCGGCAGTAAACTTTGACTTTCATTCATCCGACAAGGTAACGCCAATTAGTAAATCCAGGTGCGGCGCCTCAGCGGCTTAAGGCGTCGGCTTAACCTCTACAATAGCTTTTCCAAAATGGCGACGGCCATCATTTGGCTTCATTACGCCTCTTCAGAAACCACAAAGGGTGACGTCACTGAGACTACGTCCATGTTTTATAAAGTCTATGTTCTAAACCAGGGATTACAGTACACATTTAAAACATATTGCACAATGTATGACTGCGTTTTCTCTGATCTCAAGTGTTTATATCGTGTAGAATAATGCAGTTTATGTTACTGGTTGTGTCTGGAAGACTTTGGATACCAGAAAGGAACATTGCAGATAAAAATAAAAGCATTGAAGTGAAAATGTTGCAATAATCTTTAGGCAGCAGAACAGGACATTTCCCCTTTTCATGATTCAAGCAGAGTGGAAAAAAAATCAAGATGATAAAAAAAGATTCCTGAGAAAAATCCTTCTTCTCTCTTCTTCTTCTTCTTCTTCTTCTACCACTCTCTCTCTCCCTCCGCCACACACTCAGAGTAGGACAGCTGGTCCAGGTAGAGCACAGCACACACCTGGATGAGCTTACAGTGTCCTTCACAGATGATGCTGCTGTTGTATCCCACCATGTAGTGAGTGAAGTACTTATCGAAGGCTTTGCTCCGCGGCGCCTTAAAGCTCAGCCCCAGCTGGAGCAGGCTCAGCGGCCGCAGGTCAATCAGTCCAAACGCTTCAGTCATGATATATTCAAGCCTCCAGTCGGATCTTTGTTTCTCGTTGGCTTCCGTCAGATTCAGATAGTACTGCCAGATATCCTTTAGAGAGGGAGGAAAAGCACCAGAGGAGGAGGGAGAGAGGGGGGAAGAGAGGTGTTGTTGAATGGCAGAAAAGCTGTTTTTGTTTTCTGACTGACAGCGTGATTAATCATCAAGAGAGACTTTCTTCTTAGGTCGCTGATCAGAGGGAGAAATGTTAGTCAGTGCAGAACTTTTAAAACGATCCAGTTCGTGTTCTAACTCTAAGCAAGCTCTTCTTTATCTTTTTAAAGATGGAGTCAGCAGCTTTTTCCTTAAAATAATAAATATAGACTTATACTAAAGTAATGTCGCTCGATCACCACGTCTGGGCCTCCACACGTGTGTGGTGGTGACTGTGTCTGCAGAGACTCTGTCCTCTGTCTGGATTTGGATGTTTTGTGTTGTTTTGATTGACTCGGGACGTCGCTGGGCGGGGGAGCCGGTGGGCTTCCTCCAGCCAATGAGAAGAGGATTAAGATTCAGTGCTTGGACGAAAGCCTCAAAGACGAGAGATTGTAATCACAGTGATGCAAAACGCGGACGTGGAGTTGGCCTGCCTTCTGTTGGACAGGCAGCTAGGTGCCAAACACAGCGGTTAGCTTGTGCTAACATGCATTAGCTCGCTGTGAAGGTACAAACTTGCACCCTACGTCCTGCAGTGAGTGTGCACCTCTACTGGCGCTGAGCCCAGGAGGAGGCGCCCAGTTTGAATGTGTTCACAAGCTGCAATGAACATTTCCACTGACTCCACCTTTACAAATGCATTAACTAAGTTTTCAATAATTTGCACACTATTTGTGATGCAGCCATTGCAGAGTGGAGTTTCTGATTTCTCGTCCGTTATTATTGTGGCTGTTAAATCCACTGTGAGGTCATGAACGTGTCCGCATAGTTTTGTGCGCTTCAGCGGATTTTTTTTTTTGATATTTCTGGTTGGTAAAGAGAGGTCTAGAATCTTCTGCGAAATGAATCCCGAGTTTGAATTTGATCGCTTTTTAAATCTGACATCAATTTGGCCAGAGATTAAACCGATCTGGACACAAACTAAACCACACTTCTTCATTTTTAATGTCTAACCTGAAACTCACGATGAATATTTGGGCTGGAAAAAAATTATAAAGTCTGTTTTTTTAACAGCGTTGTGTTAATCTCCTCGTCTGACACCGACCTCGGGCAGAAACGACAGCTTCATAAAGTAACTAAATGGAAGAATGCGGTCATACAGAGGCGTCAGTTTTCACGTCATAACCGGTTAAAACACTTCTCACAGGAGCTTTAACCGCTCTGTAAATCAGCCTCGTCATCACACCAGTCAGAGCTGACGTAGCGCCTCACCATCATGCCGTAGTCCTCGGGGTCGTACAGGTACATGCGGAACGCCGGGTTGTTGGAGTACGGCTCCAGAACGTGTTTGATGGGAGTGACAGCCGGGGCCACGAACACAGAATTCACAGGTTTACCTTCAGGAAGAGGAACACACACACACACAAACACATGATATCATCATCAAGTAGAAACTACTTCACACATCAGGACGGGCAGGTAGACGAGGAATGAGTCCATCTCATGCACGCTGTCGAACAAAAATGAATAAATAATAAATATTATTGCAGGTTTTTTTATTTTATTTTGAAAGTTAGACAGCGTGCAAGAGATTGTTTGTAAAATGTCCGATGTTACCCCAACCCTTACCTTGTTGGTCCAGCAGCACCATGACGCTGTCTCGGTGTGTGTGGCCGTAGAAATGTCCGGCGACAACTTGACTGTACTTCCTGAAGATGGCGACCAGCCGCTCGTTGTGGATCTTTCTAACAGCGGTGGTGTTCGTGGCAAAGGCGAGGAACCCCACAGGTACGTGGGCTATGACGTACACCTGCATGAGAAGACGCGTTTAAAACCTCAGCTCTTCAAAGTGCAGAAGGTGTTTTAATGTTTGTCAAAGCATCGAGGCGTCAATCAAGCTGAAGACAATGTAATCCTGTAATGTCAGGATGTGAAATACAAAGATGTAAGACCTTCTCCTGGTTCTGAGCGGCTTTCTCCAGAGTTTTCTCCAGCCACTCGAACTGTCCCGCCGGGTCCGTCATGTTCTTTGTGGCTTTATCAGGACCGTAGTAAAGGATGGTGTTCAGACTCAAGACCCTCAGACCAGGCTTCGCCAGCTGGGAGTAAAAACCTCCTGCAGGGGCGGGACAAAAGAAAGAAGTAACAACATGAGCAGAACATGCTGCAGCTTTACTGGGATTCATTTACAACAGAAGCTGCTGATGTCCATTGTCCAAAAAAATTGATGCAAAATCGATGATTTGAAAAAAATGGGGGATGATATCACATCTGTCAATATGATTTTTATTGATTGTTTAGTCTTGTCTTGTTCTGTATATCAAACATTGTGATTATAACACATTCAGTTGAGCTAATAACATTGGAACATTAGCTCAAGTGAACGTGTCGGCTCTATCATTTCCTCTAAATGCAGCAAGGAAGCAGTTGACAGTAGGCTCAGTTCTACGTTTTAGATTTCTGCAAACTGAATTTGAATGAATGCAAAACTCTTTTTTTAGTTGAGTTACAGCACTCCAGCAGTCTGAAAGGAGCTTTAGTAGCTGATGCAGTGACACGTCACCTTGTGAGAGAGTGAGCAGAGCTTCAGGCTGCAGCCAGGGTTTCCACAGCTGAGCAGCAGCTTTGTAGATCGCATTGGTGGAGGCTGGCATCTGGTCCTGGAAAAGAATCATGTGAACATAAGTCGAAGCAAAAAACGAAAAAAAAGAAAGATGTGACATTAATGCAACATTTTTAACTCTCTGGTGCTAGATAAACTAGAGATTAGATATTAATATATATATAGAAGTAGATAGAGTATTACTATATTAGATCATCGACTCTCAGTCACGGCCTACTGTATATGAATGATGTTACCACCCTCCTCCAGACAGCAGACTGCACCTCCAGACTTCTTAAAAAGGCTAGGCCTGCCAAGTCCTGCAGCCTTTCAATTGGGAAAGGGGCAAGAGACGACAACACTCTTCACAGTGGATGGGGGGGGGAACTATTGTTAAGTTCCTCTTTTGTTCCTATGTTTCTTGCACATGCTTTACATATCAACTATTATACACATCTTAAATGTTGTATCTTAGTAATGCTCAAATTGAAGTTTTTAGTAATAAAGACATAAAACCAGAATATTATAAGCGTCAAATGAGTCCAAAAGATGAAGATTCTTTGTGTTTGAAAAGACTTTTTTATAGAATAAAAAGTTACCTGTGGCCAGTAGTCGTGGTTTCCCAGCGCGGGATAGACGGTGAGGTTGGGGAAGTGCTGTCTGACGGTCATGGTCATGTTACTGATCACCTGAATCACCAGCTCTGTGGACAGCTCGTCTGCAGGGACATGAGGGGGGCTGTCTCTGTAACACAGGAGAAGAGCCGGTGTTATTAACTGTGATCAGATGAGTTACAGATCACGCTCCGGATACCAACCAATGCCTCGACAGAACACTTCCATGTTGCCATGTTTGGGTGCAACGCTTTTTGTTCAAACGTCTATGTGATGAAGTCACAATGCTTGACTTCCCGCAATTTAATTCTTGACATTTTTTTTTCCTTTATTAGCAAAATAAAATGATAAAATCTTGAACTATTGACATTCTTGACATGAAGGACAAACAAGAGACAAAACAAGTGAGAGACAGTGAGAGAGTAGGCAGGAAAAAAGGAATGAATGGACGTGATGAGATACTTTCAAGAGAGACAAAATAAGTTTAAATTCAGAAATGAAAAACAATCATCCAGTAATAAATCAAATAGAAAACAAAAGAAATATTTCTCACTTTTTTATATTTGAAGCAACAGACCTTATTCAATTTTTTATTGTTCAATTTGATCTCAGAAGTCAGAAATTCCAGGATGCAGGTCTGATATGTCATCAGGAACGCCCCCCATGAAGTCAGAATTACGACTTGTAAACCTTGGAGAACCTTCAGTAGCCCGAGACAAAAAAATCCAACATGGCTGCTACGTGCATCAGTAACATTTAAGCTGTAACTATTGTGTTTATTATACCCTCACCTGGGAACAATCTGTCCATCATAAAACTATCATGCAGTGTGTGATTAATGCCAGGTGTCCATGCTGCTTGTTGGACTTGTTTCCAACCGGAATGCGGCAACTCAGGTGTGACATCATTCCCAGCTCCGAGATCTAAGTTCAGGGTTAAATGGAACGCACCATGAGAACCATTGTGACAAACTTATACACAAGACTTGGCTACAGTAAGCAAACATTTCTTGCAATCAACTAAACCCCTTTTCTTCCGAACGCCATTTTTCATCAAGTATCTGACTCGCATGCAATCTCAAAACCTCCTTGAACTGCTTTTAGATCAAAAGTAAACCAGCAGTAAGTCATGAGTTACAGTCAGTGGAGAGGTCAAGGAAACCCCTCATTTCAAAACACAGCAGCACTTCCTGTTAGTACCATCAGCGTTTCAGACATGATGATCTGAGCACAGCTGCTCTCAGCTCTACTGCGTTGCAGAAATGAAGTAAATTCCACTCTTGAATGGATTTCCCCTTTTAGTGCAACTGGTGCTACAAAGAACCCAGAACAAAGCAAAGACCTGCTCGCACACTAAGCTGAAAGACTCCCTGCAGAGAAGCATTAAGTGCTGAGTCATTGTGTTAAACACATGAATTCCATTTAATGCCAGTTAGGATCACGTCCTGCTGTTTTGGAAAAAGTGTCCAATCGAGTGTTTTCCTCTTCAGTAAGAATGAGACGACATAAGGGGAAGTGGAACTTTGTCCAAGCTCACACACTACTGTACTTTAACAGGAAGTGACCAGACAACCTTAACCCTGACCAAAATCAATCAAGAGCCCTTCTCATACTGCAAGTCCACAACAGTCCCCCCCAACGAGGCGCCGCCGCCATTATGCATCAAGAAATTCATAACGATTCTGAGAGGGCGTCATATTGGAATCGCCGTCTATGAATTAACCGTACTTTTAAGACGTTGCGGATACTCGACACACACACAACGTTGTTCTCTACCACTGCCTATGCCCATCTCGTCTCACCCCAGTTACTACCTTTGATGGCGGCATTCACGGTGAAGGTGAGACGTCGCAGGGGCGTAAATATCTCGCATTGAAAGGGCAGTCTGAATCGAGCTAGTGACCTCTTGGGAGATAGTTTTACCTCAAGGTTAAGTCACATTTGGCCATCTTTATTGTTATCAGGAAATCAAAACCAGAGTGCAGACCTGTCACCTGGGCGACGCCAAAACTCTCTGCGGCCTTTGTGACTGAAACATGCGGCGCCCATGAAAACGTCCTCCTACTTCTAGCTTTCCAACACGTCTGTGTCGTCAGCCGTCGGCTAAAGGTCTCTTGTCAGGTTGCGCAAATGAACACAAACAGACGAGACGTATTGTTGGAACACTGTGAGCACTAACTTTTTTGTAGCGTTACAGAAGTCGACTTCAACTTGTGGTCACCAGCCTCGGCTCACACTTCCCTCAAAGACCTACAATGAACTTTATTGATACATGGAGTTCTCCTTTATCTCACTCTGCCTGTGTGTTCATTACTTACTTGCAACAACTAGTCCAAAGTTGCTGCACTGGCACTTTTTGGTACAAAAACCACCCGAAAAAAACAGAAGACCTCAAAGGTCAAAACTATGCAAACAACAACAACATGAGACGCTCTGTGAGCCTGAAAGTGAGCAGAGCTGTGATTTAAAATCAAAGTCCATGTTTAAATGGAAATGTGTTAAAAGGCAGAACATTAGCTATTCTCACAGTCAGAGTTTGATGTGTTATTGTGTCGACTATCTATTCAATTCACCCCAGATGTCCAGCCTCCACCATCGGACTGAGTCGTCCCCACGACCACGGCCGTCCTCATTCATGCACTTCCTGCTCCGACCTCCACCTCAGCGGCGAGGAAGTGTGGACAACAGGAACGAGAGGAACACAAAGGAGAAATCCTTCCTGCACATGCTCTTTTGTAAAGCGTCTCGAGATAACACTTGTTATTTCATTTCAATCTTTTTATGACGTACAATGTAGAGAAATACTTTTTTTTCTTTTTCTTTTTGCCTTTACAAAGAATGAAAAGGTGCAGGAGCTAAAAAAAACAACGTGTAAACCTGCCCCAAAACATTATTTTATAATAAGTGTTATAAGTGTAATTGAGTCCAATCAGAAGGCAGCTCACCTGGACAGAAAATGAAAAAGTGCTGACAGGTCACATGATTGGTTTTGATTGGCCTCTAAACAAACAATGATTGATTGATTGTCATTATCTGTAAATCTTAAAGCACTTCGTAAGTTAGTAACCCACATTTCCTGCGACCCCTGACCTCTCATGTCTTGCCCGTGTGTACATGTTTTTGTACATTTCCTTGGGCACACACGTCCAATTTTGTGTAAATTATGCAGAAAAAAACCAGCATGGTAGTGCTACATGCTATCAGGGGATTTCTACGAGTTAATTCAGTGTCATCCTGTGGTGAACATGTACATGATTCAGAGTTCCGAGCGACTGCATTTAAGCAGACACTTCTTCATTCTCGTATGCTCAAACCTCAGAGCGGTTTGCTGTTGACATAAAGAGAACTCACACTTACACAACAAGTGTTCACAAGTTGCACGCCTGCCAACAGAAGAAGAAATGAAACTGTTGTGAAGCCAAGTTTACTGTTTCAGTCACACTCAAACTGGAAACGACTCAGTGTTTCGAGTCGCTTCTTGCAAACAAGAAAGCACAAATAAGACGTAGAAATGGAAGAAAAGACTCCCCCATGAGCGTACTGACCCGGTCCATATGATGAAGTCGTCCTGCTGAGTGAGCGGAGCCATGTGAGAGAAGGCCGACTGGATCAGCAGGTAGGGAGAGTCACACAGGAAGTCTCCGTACACACCGGCGTTGGCGGTGGGGACTCCTTTGGAGGAGAAGCAGACCTTGGTGGGGTCCGGGGTCAGGTGGTAGGTCGGGTCCAGGTGGAGGTCGGTGATGTGCCAGAACCGGCCTGAACACATGGAGAGGAAGTAAAATGAAATGAGGCCGAAGGGAAGTAAAAAAAAAAAACAATGACTGGGTTAGGTTGATACGTTTGTCCTTCTTATAATCTCATTTTGTTGTCATCATCATTTCTTGAAAGTGATTGTTATAGCTTGAACTGCCTTTACAAGCCATGCCTGTTGTATCTGCCTTATTCCTTTTATTTGCATATATTTTATTTGTGTTTGGCCTGACTGTTGAGTCTGTTGTTGTTCTTCTCCTTTTGGTTTTTTTATGGTGCTTTATAAATAAAGTCAATTGTGATTTTTAGGATGATTCAGTTATGATAACAATACTTTTTTTGACTTATAGTCAAAGTCTCAATCTCCTTTCTTTGAAATGAAAAAGAAAAAACCCATTAATAGCATAATTAGATGAGAATTAGACAGTGCGGGTACATGTTGGGATATGTGTGGCCAAACTCCGTCTAAAAAACTCATTTTGTAGGTTCTTTTTTAATTTACGAACATAGTGTAACTTAAAAAAGTACAATGTTGGACTTAATATAACTCATATGTGTTCAAAGGTTAATTCGGCGTGCAAAACATCCACAAACACGAATTACATTTAAGAAAATCTCGATTTAAACATCTTTATCTCACAACATGTTTCACACTGTTCCTACCGGTAACGTAGCGTTGAGGATAAACCGGAACACCCCGGTGTATAATAGCGAGTCTTTAGCAGAGGACAGTCACACAAGGTAGGTTATAAAAACAGTGTTCACCTCAGTTGTCATGAGCGGGAGTTTCACTCACCTTACCCGGCAGGTAGCTTCTTCCGGCCGGAGCCGCCTCGAGCAGAGCCGCGCGGAACAGCAGGAACAGAAAACTGCACAAAAGTTGTACCATGTTGACTCTGTTCAAATCCTTCAGTGTGGTTATTTAACACATGGAAACGACATGAACTAAAGCTGCAAACCACTGTGGGTCATTCTCCTCTGATATAAACAGGAAGTGTTTGAAGTGGTGACGTAAGCACGGGGGGAGGGACTTAGCAGATCAAAGTATTGCGACGCTTCTGTAGTTCAGAGCTTACTTTCATTTAGGCAACGCAAGCATTTCCATTCAAGCAGCTTTAAAGCATATTTAAAACCAATTTTAAAAAAGACAAACAATAACACATACACAGGCTTTCATGAAGTTATTTTTTATCTATGTAATATATTTATATTGGAGTTGGACCTGTCAAAATCTACGGAAGCCCTAAGTGGACACACCTTGATACATCTAATTTTACTCCACTCTCCTGTAATAACCAAGCAGCAACTTCCGGCCAAGGCCGTCCATAAGGGGGGAGAAAGGGGAAGACTTTGGGGCCCGGCTGCATTTGGCGGGCCCCATTCAGGTCCGGTAAAAATTCTAAATTTAAGCAATGACAACAATTCTTTTAGGGATCCATAGCTGTGTACGTTTTGTGTTACACCGTACATAACTATTACATGTTGCTTTCTTATGCTTTGTTTTGTTCTATTTGCGCTGTTCAGCACTTTGGATGAACTGTGTTGTGTGTAAAGTGCTTTATAAATAAAGTTGAGTTGAGATCTTGTAGGCTGGATGTCTCAGTCTGCTGCTGAAGGAGCTGCTCAGAGTCCCCACAGTGTCATGCAGGGAGGTGTGAGAGGATGATGTCCATGATGGATGGATGTAACGTCTGACTGTGTACAGTACGGCCAGGCCAGGACCTGAAGAACAGTCAGGATGCAAGAAAAGAAAGAAGGCTAATTTGACCCAAACAACCTCCGGTCTTGAAAAATGAAGCAACTGCGGAAGTGCATAATCCTGCAGTTCATCGAGTGTCCACTTGAGGCGGACTGCAGAAACCCCAACATATACACCAAATCAAAAATGTAGTTTTTTACTGCAAAGATGAACATGTTTACAGCCTGGTTCAAAAATGTAATTGGTCTGAATATCTTCTCAATATGTTCTCAATAAATAATATCAAGAAGAAATTGAACATATGAACAAAATGTACATATGTAAAAGTAAAAAATGTGCAGTGTTGAGCAGTGTGGGTATTGTATGTTTTATATCAGTATAGCACAAATGGGTGACTGAGAGGAATTGCTGAAATGTTTACAGACAGATTGCATAGTTGAAGTAAACTTTATGGAGAAGTTTCCAGTTTTATAGAAGTCCAGGGTGAGACTGAAAGTGTCTGACTCCTCAAAGGGAGGAGTTCAAGAGTTTGATGAGCTCCTGTGTTTTACCAGCACGTCGTGGAGTGGGAGCAGTGGTGTAGTGCAGGCGTATACTCAGGTATAAGGAGTACACTCACTTATTTTTCAGACTCCACAGGGGTATAACTTCTTCTAAATCTCCTCTGATTCACACCTTTGATCGACAGCAGTCAGTAGTTTGCTGCAATCTTTTTCTTAGGACGGTGAAGGGATGACCCTCCGACTCTGTTCCTGTCTGTTAAGTACACCCGACTAAATATGCCAGAGTAGTCTCACATGCCACTGTTTATGACGGGACACTCTTCATGAAAATGAAGAGTATTCCCACTATAGGAACCACTATTGTAAAATATTGATGATTTTCTTTCTTAAATATTGTCCTGATTCTCAGAGATGCTCTCTAACATGTTCAGGCTGTGTTTGTGACCTCTGTTTGTTTCCACGGTGATAGAGAATAAGAGGCGTGGGTCATTTTAAGGTCACTTTGGTCACATGCAGAGGAAGTTTATGTTGCCCTCCTTTTGCAGGGTCAGAGGTCGGACCAGATAGGATAGACAGGACATTTTAAATTGTCTCAACTACCTGTGTATCATAATGAATGATGGAGCTTTTATGACACAGTGTCTGCAAGAAAACATCAGAAACAAGACAAGTATTTACTCTGTGTTTTTTATTTTTATTTCATGTTCTCACCCGAAGTATCAAAGATGATCCATCCATCGCGACAGAAATGCTTATCATGTAAAAAAAAAAAAAAAGAATTCTTACAAAGCATGTGCAGCCTGCAGGGGGCGCACATGTGGAGGATGATGAAGTGCAAAGAGAAGCATACAGTCAAATAATAATTATAAAAATCAACACTTCTTGGCCGGGTTTTGGGACGCCGTCAGTCAGAGCTCTCATGCCTTCTCGTAGCTACGCACCGCATGGATGTCTTCAAAGGTCAGATTCTGCAGAGGAGAGGAGACGGTTACCATGACAGGGAAGTTAGGGTTCACAACATGCTTATCTTTGAAACCAATGACTAACTTTCATAACTAACAGGGTTTCCCTGAGCGCCCCTACAGTCCTGGAGCTCCTATGAAGTAAAATTTGATGTAATGGCAATTTTTTAGCTTTTGCAGCATTATTTTCTATTTGAATTTATTTGGAGGGGGCTGGGGATTTTATAGACTTTATTAATCCCTGAGGGGAATTCCGGTTTTCACACACATTCTCAAATCACACACATGAGAAAACAGGAGCTGTGGACATGCATTAGTGGAGAGATGTCAGAGTGGGGCTGCTACACTCTGGAGCGCACCAGAGCGGTTGGGGGTTCCACTCGGGAGGTGCCTTGGCACTTCTCCAGCTACCAGACCAACTTCCATAATATGGACTTGAGCCGGCGACCCTCCAGTTCCCAACCCAAGTCCCTATAGACTGAACTACGGCCGCCCCTTCTGCACTGTGTTTCCGTCATGATATCTCTTTAGATAGAATTGGAATTTGCATCATATCTGAACTCGCAGCACGTTTTTCCCGACATAAAGCATTTAGGTAATAGCAGGTCGGTTTTCCTTGTCGGTCAACTTGATATAATCTGTAAATATAGATCAGCTATGTTGACTGTAAAGTTGTAGAAAAGCATGTGTCATGATAAAAATTAGTCAAAATGGATTTTAAGGCTTTAAAAAAGGCTAATAAAAACCCTCTGCGTCTGTATGACTTGGGGGGGGGGGTTGCCTTTTTTTTTTTGCCAAATTTGTGTTTTTTTTATGCACTTTTCTTTAAAAGTCCTCAGAAGAGAATGAATTAAAAAGCTTTTCTGCATGAAATTGATTCAAAAAAGAGGAAAAAAATTGAACTTTCCCCCCACGACATACAGAAAAAGATTTCTTTTCCCTCATAAACATTTAATATTTTGAACTTATCGTGATATTTGAGAGGAAAACCTCAAAAACAAACTTTTTCTTTAACATTAGAAAAACACCTCAAATGGTCAAAATGAGGATTTAATCTGCCGTCTTAAAACTCTTATTAACACATATTGCTAAAACTAAACAGAAGAAAGAGAATCATTTGTTCGTGTGTGATCTGGTGCGTCCGTCTCACCATGACCATTTTGCCATCCTTGATCTCTCTGACGAACTTGGTCTCTTTGCCGTCCCACTTCTGGACGTGGACCAGCTTGTCTCCGTCCATCGTCACTGTGGACTGAGACACAAAAGAAAAAACGTTTTTTTATTTTTTTCATTTTAACCAAGCGAGGTGGAAAATGAGCGCATTATGAAGCTGCCAAACTCTGGTTCGATTTCCGGAGGTCATGAAGATGCCAAATCTTGTCAATGACCCAATAATGGAAACAAAGAAACACCTCCCCCCCCAAAAAAACAGACTCCACGTTTGTGCAGAACCTCATTCAGAAAAATGTGAATTTAAGCTTATAATCTGCTTCACTGTAAACACAGAGGGGGGGACTTTTGCAAATGATATCTTAAAAAATTTGATTTATTTTCATGATTTTTATGAAGAGATTCAAACTTAAGTTTAACGTTCAAGCACTCTTTAGCAGCATGTGATCCCCAAACTAGTCTCTGATTTAAATCTGTACTTAAATCTTATTATAGAAGGAAATGTAACTGTCTTGTTTGGTCTCCTCTTTTTGTACTCCTTTGATCTTTTTATGGAAAAGTAATGAAAATAAAGAGTTTTTAAAAAGAAATAGGACTTCAGGGTCCCCTTACTTTGCAGTTCCTGTCATCAGCGGTGGTTTCATCAAACTCCTCTCCCAGCTTGAAGGAGATCTCTGTGTTTTTGAAGGTGCTCTGGGTGCGGACCACCACCTTGTCGCCCTCCTGGCTGATGATCACAGTGGGCTTGGTGACATTTCCAACCTGTCGGGTGGCGAAACCCACACCTGGTGCAAAAAAAAAAAACATTGGACATTATTTACTGCAATCTCTGAACGTCTCTGAAAGCATCTTCAGGGTCTGACATGAAGAGTTCAGCCTGGATTTATTGCATGTGCAACTTAAATGAAAAAAAGAGAACATACTTAAAAAGAGAGAAAAAGAAATGAAATGTTTTTACTCACCGAGAGCTTTCATGTACTCATCAAAGTTCTCACTGTCGACCAGTTTCCAAGTGGCACAGAAGGCGTCGACCATGGTGAAGGTTTGCAGAGAGGCAGAGTAAATCTCCAAAGTGAAGTGAGCAGGCTGCAGCTTCTGCAAGTGTTCCCCTCCTGGAGTTATTATTCTGCTGCTTATTATTATGCATGCAGGTGGGCGGAGCCAGGTGTCCCATTGGCTCAGGAGATCCTCTCTGAGTTTTGATTGGATGTTTGAACTGGGTCACAGGTTTTACGGACCCCTTTACAGAAAAGACTTAAATTAGCTCATTTGTAGGACTAATGATGTAATTACTCAGCTTTATGGGTGTCACTCGGGTTTGTAGGGATGAAGTTGGGAGGTGTTTGTAAGACAAAGAAAATCCACTTTTATTAGAAAATAAAACTTTTAAAAGTTTGTTAACTGCTTCCTTTTTTTTTATTACTTCTGCAGGTTGTTTTGTTGTGATTTAAGCACATTAAATGTGTATGTGTCTTTAAATTAAAGTTTAACTCTTTGTTGTAGGAATAAGAATGTCACGAGATGAAGAGGAATCAATTAAAGATTAAAAAAAGGAAAAAATAAGTGCAAAAACAAAGTGAAAAAACAAATAAATGAAGAAACAAATGAATTAAAAAAGATTCAGATATGAGAGGGAATAAATAAAACATACGATACGTATGAACAAACATGTAAATATAAAGAGATTTTAAAGGCCTGAATGACTTTAATTAAGTATAAAATTAAACAAAATACAAAAATGAAGGCAGGAGAAAAAAAAAAAAGTAAAAATATAAAGAGGATTAAATTAGACCTGAATGAGCGTTCTGATTGGACAAGAGGCCTTTCCCCGAAATAATGATACTTCACTGGGACTTTTCACACATATGTATCATTACGCCTCGGCCAAGATATTGGTGATTTTAGGTAAGGCTGATTTAAATCCAGATTTTTGGGTTGTATGTCAAATTTTGAAGTTCGTCCGATTGTCAGAACCATTTGTGCGTCATCAGTCCCAGATGGCCGATCACAGCTCAATCAACTGCTTACAACTTTCATTTTGGTCGTAAGACTGCACACACTCGCGCAGTGAGAGCAGAGCCACAAAGCCGATTCCCCCGACATGGGGAGTTTTTTTTTTCTCATGCTTGTGTCTGCACAAAAAAGTGACAGGCAGCATCTGAAATCACCGTGGCAACAGCAGGCATGCCTGTTTAATCTGTCTTCCCCCTCCGTCCTGTCATGAAAGAAACATTGGCAGGAAATATCTGCAGACCTCCAGCTGACAGGGGAATATTTGTTAATGATTTAGCTGGTTGAAGACTTGTGTTTATTGGTGATGCTAAGTGTGTTTGAGATAATAGTGTGAGCTCTCAGGTCTGGCCTGATGATCGGGTCGTACAGTGTGAGCTGTAATACCATAATGACTTGGACCATGGACACAAAGTAGCCAGAGTTCAGCATAATGTCTGTGTTGAAAGGTCAGTTTCAGTCAAGATGTGGAACTAGTTGAATTGGTTTGGCAAAAAAAATCACTGATTTGGTCGTTGAACTGTTGTCAGTTCACCTCAAGATGTTCTCAATGATTTATTTTGGGGGCTTTCTAAGTCTTTATTGGAGAGTCAAGGACAGTGGATAGAGTGAGAAATCAGGGAGTGGAACAACATGCATGGAAAGGGAGCCACGGTCGGATGATTTAAACCCGGGCCGCCCACTTGGGGGACTGTCTTCTCTGTACACGGGGTGCGCAAACTAACCACAAGGCCACCAGTGCCCCCTTAAATGTATTTCATCTCACCTGTAGTGTCCTGAATGTGATACCCAAATAAAATAGCTTCCCCTCATATTGTATAAAAGGCAAAAAACTCATCTTTATCTACATTTTACAGAAACAAAAGGGCAACAGTTAACACTAAAGTTCCCTTAAAGGAGCTTAAAGTTGGCCTTCTAGTCTTTACAACAGTCAGAAAAGGGTTTGTTCAGTGACAGTAGGAGCTGATTAATATGTATGTTTTAATAACTTTTCCTCATGTTAATCCTCTGTTAGCGACGGGCCGAGCGTCTGCTCTGAGGAATGTGTCCTGTAGGGAGCGTCAGTGAAGCAGAATCACTTTGTTTGACAGCTCTTTGTCCTGAACATGCATTAACAACCCCCCCCACAACCCCCCCACAACCCCCCACAACCCCCCACTGCAATTCCTTCATGCTCAACACACACACTAATTACTGTCTATTAACGAGTGTGTGTGTGTGTGTGTGTGTGTGTGTGTGTGTGTGTGTGTGTGTGCGCACTGCTTTCTCACACACACAGTAAACGTATAGTAGAAGTGTCATGTCTGCCTTGAGCTTTGTAAAGAGGAAAGTTTGTTCAGTTGTCATTAAAGGAAGCAGAAGTTTACGTTGCTGTATTAGACCACTTACACCTGAAGACCACGTCCTCCTTAACAGATGATTTAAAGAGACAGTACCTCTTTCTTAAACACCCTGAAGTCACTCATAAACGTGGACTTGACTTGATTCTGTGGGGGGTTCTTGCAAATGTGTTTTCTTTTTTTTTTGTGATATTTTCTTTTTATTGATGTTGATGTTGTTGTTCCCGTGTGTAACTTTTATGATTTTTGAAATGTTCTCATGTTTGGACCTTCAGGGCCACTGTACCTGTCATTATGGACACATGGACAACTACACGATGTAGTTGAACGAGTACATAACTGAAGCAAGAGGATGTTTTGTCTCAGACATCAGCGTTCCATTTAAATGAATGATTTCGCCCTTCAAATTCAAGCGTCTAACTTTTGGAGATAAAGTCAATTTTTTCAACGACAGTAGGAAACCCCTCTAAGGCGGCCCCATCTGACGGCACTTGTGGCCCTGCTAAGCATCACATGAAATCAACAGGAGATATAGATAGACAGGTATAATAAGTTAAAACAACGGCCTCTGTAAATGATATTAAACCCATATAAGGAGCGGGACATCAAATAATCAACAGAGGTAAAATTACTGAAATGAGATTCATTTTCTGTTTGACTGTCTGATCTATGATGACATAAGGGATGCACGTTTAAGTCAGATGCCTTCCATTAACGTTGATTTCTTCTGGTTGGATGATTTTGATAAACTTCTGCAGCATGAGAGAAAAGAAAGGCTACACTAACTAAGCGTTGTTAGCAGCTCTTCGTCTACAGAGATTTTTAAAAGGAAACTGTCTTCACCTTTAATCCACGAGGTCAAACTTTTGCATATATAACATATATATGTTTTTTCCCCCTTTTTTTTCCATCAACTCACTCATTCACTCCTTTTTAATAGATGAATGCCTGTTTCATTTAGCTGGTAGAGGGTTAACATTCGCAGTCTTTCTATTGTATGTATGTGTCTAAGTGTGTATGAATACATGTACAGGTTACTGTATATGTGTTTATATTCAATTTTGTTTTGAAATTGTATAATTCGATTTGCTTAGTTGATTTATTTGTCTCTTAAGAGGTGAGGTCCCTTGTATAAGCCTGTTGGCCTCTTGACCTCTCCTGACACACCTTTTATGTTTTTGTTAATCCTATTTTGATGTATTCCTATATGTGTGATAATAAATAAATAAAAAACATTAAGCTTCTGAAGTAATATTTGTTTATTGTCCGTCTTTGTTCTCTGTCTGAACTTAGATGCTGCTGCTGTCTCGTGTCAGGACTCTCTTTACAAAGAGATCTTCTATCTCAAAAAGAATTTATATTCCTGGTAAATCCATAAGCATTGGGCACTTTGTGTGCATGACACGTAAATAAAATACAATCAGTCACTCAAACACTGAAGGTAAACTATGCAGGATTTAATTTTAAAAATGATCTGAGAGCTTGTTGCTTGGAAAATGTGCTATGCAGATTGTCCAAATGCATGACTGCATGTGGTGAGCTCATTGGGCTGTGAAGGATCTCTGCTGCCCCCCTCTGGTTAAAAGTAGAAAATGGCAACACTGCATGACTTTCTGTCTGTTTCTTGAAGGCTGTTAATGTGACTGATGAACTCCCTGTTCTTTATCCTCATTACAGATTTACAGACATTTAATTTGGCCTTTTGTGATATGCCATCATAGTTCCTGCGGTGTGGAATCAGTAAAGAGGGGGAGGCTTCCAACAGTTTCTAGAATTATGAAAAAGTTCCTGAGGTCTGAAAACACCTTTAATGACCCTGCAGATGTGTTTTTAATAATGAAATGATCACATGTTAATACACACATTTCTTCTCCTTTCAGTTTATTAAGCAGTAAGCTCTCCAAACATTTATCCTAAAGCTTGCCAGAGTGATAAAGAGTAAATCCACACGTTTGATGTCATTAATATTGATACAGAAGATCAGGAGATTGATGTAACAGATTTGACATTACAGAGTTCTTCAGTGTCTCACAAATGTGCAAAAACAATTAAAAAACCTCAATCACATCGAAAAGATATCATCGATACTTTCTGTTCAATTATTTTATTTTAATTCATTTTACCCCAAACAATAGACACTATGCAGGCCAGACAGTACCAGCAGCAGTAACATATATCTTTAACCCGTCTTACAACAGCACCGTGCTGACATTCACATCCCCCCCGTCCCGAGCCCAGTGCAGAGCAACATCAAGATGTCATCAAATTCATGTAGAGACAAAAATAATAATAATAGTAATAATACTAAAAATACTGAGCTAATGATGAAAGAAAAACAAAAAGTAAAAAAATAAAAATAAACAAAAACATTCACACAGAACAACAATTAATAAAAAAGAAAATAAATCATCAATACTTTCTGTTCACTATTAAAGGAAGCCTCCGCTCTCCTCCAGAGACACACCTCCAACCCCTCTCCATATACATTAACAGGAAGGAGTTAAGCGTAAGCGGTGGACTAAATCTTCCTTTGCTCGAGCTGCTATTGCCTGTGGTCTGCATTGTTGTGTTAGCATGCTGATGTTAGCACAGTAAAGTTAGCTTGTAGCTTCAAATTGTATATAAATTGGTACAGATAACAATCTAAAAATGCTTATGTGATATCAAAATAATCAGTGAGTATGTTCTTCTTCTTCTCTCTAGTTCTTGACTAAAACAGCTTTTATACACAAGGGGAGGAGCCGGCCGTCCCGTCCATGTA